AGACCACGCATTTTGACAGGAAACACAAAACTGAGCACTTTTTTGATGCTATGTCTTTTAAAAATGAGCAAACAAAAGGACCCAGCCAAAACATGTTGAAATATTTCATTATATTCAAAGTGACCGTTAAAATAAGGTGTGCTTATACTTTCTGGAACAGTCTATAGATCAATAATAAGTAATATTTTTTGGAGGCGGTAAGCTTTCCATTAAAAGGAACACACTATTTTTAGAAGATTCAAAGCGTTTCTTTTTCGAATAGCAATCTCCCTGTTTGGATGATTTCAAGCTAACTATAAACAAAAATCTGTGGGCTTTGCGAGGAAAACGTCAGGTAAATTCTTTGGAGAATTCCAAGGGTACTAATATTAGGAGAATTCCATTGTGATTGTAATGAGATGTCCAGACGTATTCCAACGGGAATTCTGGGAAAAGGATAGTTCAAATTCCAAGAGATTTCTGACTACAATTTCAAATATAATTCTTACAAGAGATCCTAAGAACTTCTGATATGAATTCCAAGAGAATTGTAATAATAATTCCAAGTCCAAACAGTTTCAAAGAAACTATATGGAGAACCTTTTTTTGAAAACATACCAAAGGGATATTAACTAAAGGGTGTTCCACATCAAATTGAATCACGAAAAAAAAAAACGCTGTAGAAAATTACCTAGTGGACCGATCTTTTTCAAACTTTCAGACAATAAAATATAACCCATTAGTAAGGTTTTGGCATATTTATTTCATTCAACTTCAATACCATAACCGTACGCTTGCACCTTACGCTTAACTCCACTCATTAAAGGGTGATACGGTCAAAATTTGGTCAATATCAACTTGACGTATTTCTTTCAATTTTGCATTTAAAAAACCTGAACACCCCTCATTTTGAAGGTGTTTGTGTGCAGAATGTTGCTCCTATTTTGATTTTGGAATTCACTCTTCAGTTGTCAAAATGCCGTCCAAGCAAGAAGAGCAGCGTATCAAAATTTTGCTCGCGCATCGCGAAAATCCGAGCTACTCGCACGCAAAGTTGGCAAAATCGCTAAAAGTTGCCAAATCAACCGTTACAAATGTAATTAAAGTGTTTGGGGAACGTTTGTCGACAACCAGGAAGTCTGGATCGGGGGGAAATCGAAAACCGGAAGCCGCTGAGACGACAAAGAGAGTTGCCGGTAGTTTCAAGCGAAACCCTAACCTCTCTCTCCGAGATGCCGCAAATAAGCTAGGTGTATCGTCTACAACCGTGCATCGAGCCAAAAAACGAGCCGGACTATCGACTTACAAGAAGGTAGTGACTCCAAATCGCGATGATAAACAAAATACGACGGCCAAAGCGCGATCCCGGAGGCTGTACACGACGATGCTGACGAAGTTTGACTGCGTGGTAATGGACGACGAAACCTACGTCAAAGCCGACTACAAGCAGCTTCCGGGACAGGAGTTTTATACGGCAAAAGGAAGGGGAAAGGTAGCAGATGTTTTCAAGCACATGAAACTGTCAAAGTTCGCAAAGAAATATCTGGTTTGGCAAGCCATCTGTACCTGTGGCTTGAAAAGCAGCATTTTCATAGCTTCCGGGACTGTCAACCAAGTAATTTACGTGAAAGAGTGTTTGAATAAACGTCTGCTGCCTTTCCTGAAGAAACACGGTTGTTCCGTACTGTTTTGGCCGGATTTGGCATCTTGCCGTTACGGTAAAAAGGCCATGGACTGGTACGCCGCCAACAACGTGCAGGTGGTTCCCAAGGACAAGAACCCTCCCAACACGCCAGAGCTCCGCCCAATTGAGAAATACTGGGATATTGTCAAGCGGAACCTAAAGAAGACCAAAAAAACTGCTAAGGGCGAGCAGCAGTTCAAGGCAAACTGGCTTTCTGCGGCGAAGAAGGTGGACAAGGTGGCTGTACAAAATCTGATGGCAGGGGTCAAGCGTAAGGCCCGGCAATTCGGATTTGGAAAAGCGGAAGCCTAACTGAATATTTTTCCTGAATTTTATACTAATTGAACTTGAAAAAGAAATTTAATTTGATTTTTTAAATAAACGATTTCACCGATTTACACGCGTTTTCCCTTGACCAAATTTTGACCGTATCACCCTTTAGGCTCTGTACAACATCTGGCTGCAGCTGCTTCTGTACGGAAACCCACTTTTTCTTCATGTCTTCCTCAGATTTGACCTCCTTTGGATGCTTCCGTATTGCTTGCTTCATAATAGTGCAGTATTTTTCGATGGGCCTTAGTTCCGGTGCGTGGGGGGGGGGGGGGGTCATGTCCTTGGGTACGAAATTGACCCCGTTGGCTTCGTACCACTCCAGGACAACATTTGAAAAGTGGCACGAAGTTAGATCCGGCCAGAAGATCGTAGGGCCCTTGTATTGCTTCAACAGAGGAAACAGACGCTTCTGTAGACACTCCTTGAGGTAGATCTCTCCGTTTAAGTCCCGGTAGTCACGAACGGCGCACTCCGTTTGCCACATGAGCAGATCGGTTGCTAAATCATGTATTTCTTGGCAAACTTTGAAAGTTTCTGCTTCCATCAAAATTGTGCTGTGCGGTGAAGATCAGTAGCCCCGGAAGCTGCCGGAAGTCCGCCTTGACGTAAGTCTCATCATCCATGATGAGACAATGAGGCTTCGTCAGCATCTGGGTGTACAGTTTCTCGGCCCGTGACTTTCCCACCGTATTTTGCCGTTCGTCACGATTTGGAGCCTTCTGCACTTTGTACGTATGCAGTCCCTCCAGGTGCTTGCGCAAAATCAATTCGAGACGTTGCTTTTCGGGTGACGCCATTTTTTCCAACTTTCGAAAAACTGACAGCGATAAAAATACAGCGTAAACAATACACTCTAAACTACTTCTACCCAAGTTTTCTAGAGAAAATACCCAATGGGTACTTTGACTATATGTTTTAGTATTACTTCTGCGTGAAGTCAACGATTTACATAGTTGAAGATGCTAATTTCAAATAACAGACTGTAGTGGTAATTTTTATACGATAGATGGAGTAGATGAAAGTGTAGAGTTGAAAGTTCCGTTAGAGTACGGCAGTGTGAAAATTGCATATAGATAGTAGAATAGCGAGCTAGGACAACTTTTAAGGAAGGTACAAATCGGTTTTTTCATCTCTCTTTACCAAACTCCCCCTTTGGAGAGTTTGGTAAAGAGAGATGAAAAAACCGATTTGTACCTTCCTTAAAAGTTGTCCTAGCTCGCTATTCTACTATCTATATGCAATTTTTACACTGCCGTACTCTAACGGAACTATCAACTCTACACTTTCATCTACTCCATCTATCGTATAAAAATTACCACTACAGTCTGTTATTTGAAATTAGTAAACCCAATGGGTAGTTTTCTACAGCGTTTTTTACGTGATGCAATTTGATGTGGGACACCCTTCGGGGAATGTTGAGGATAATTCATGAGGAACAGTAGTAATAAGGTAGTTCTGACTCAGAATTTCTGAAGCGCATTTCACGAGTGTTGTGAAGAGAAGTCCAGGATAGCTCCGAAAAAACAACCCTGTGAAGATTTGTAACTAAATTGTTAAGGTTATTCAGATATAATGGACAGTGTTTCCTATTTCTGATTGTGGCAGACTTGGGTAGTGAAACGAGGCTGCACCGGACAGTTTCTGCATCCGTTTATTCGAATGATTAATGTTAAAAAACCAGTGTGATGAAGAAATTAAAACATTTAAGCTGTTTTAAAAAACCGTGGTGAATCGCGCGTTTTTGTAAACCGTGGTTTTCGTGAACCAGTGCGGCTCAGCATGGTTTTTGGGCAATGGTTCGTGTAAATAGTCCTAATTTCTTCGCCAAGTTAGTTCTTGAACATGAATAAAATATTAATTTCAGTGAACCGTGACCAAATTTGCCGCACACAGTCCTCGGTTCACTTCCTAAGCCTGATTTTAGGAGTAAGACTTGTGAGATCTCAAACTTGGAAAATTGTCGGTACGCTGGATAATAGAATAGAATCAACTAATAACAACTATAAGAAGAAATTAGCGTGGATCTGAGACAATCAAAAAAACATTTCGAGAAATCAGCATTATATTAAATTTCGAACTAAAGTAACCTGACGCTGTTCCGAAGGAATCTGTTCTGCCACGTTAGTGCTGCATATCGAACCTTTAAAAAGATGGGCCAGAACCAACGGTTTAACTTCCGTTCCGAGAGAAGACGTCAAAACCTGCTAGTTAAAGCATGAGTTAAAATTTGCGAGTCGGTAATATGCATTAATATCACCCTTAGTAATTAACGATCAATAGCGAATTAAACCGTCTATCGATGACGTAGCATGATTACACGATATTTTCGTATTTACAATTTGGATACAGAGAGTATCGCAGTTGAAATAACCTTTACTTTGATCATTGTTCCATTTTCTGCTCGTCTGAAATTGAAACCGTTCATATCCGCATCGTTTCGTTTTCAGCGTAGAATTCCATTTCACGGCCAAGTTCAACGTGCTCTGAGTTTACATTATTTGTTTGTCTGATCCGACCGGACTAATCACACATGCGTTTGATAGAAAATGTGTCAGTTTACTTATTTGCAGAGAGCATACATGTGAGAAGGTATCTTGTGTATACGTAAATACCAATCATCACGGGCACTTGAAAGGCATATGCCACACAAATGAAATAAAGCCTGTAAACATTCTCAGAGCGCAGCGATCGCGTGTAGCAGTTCAGTATGCACAATGAAGTTGTACAGCGATTCGTGTTTGTGTAAGACAGGCGTATAGAACGGGTTCATCTCAATTATAATCGCCGATGATTGCTACCCTCTGCGTTGTAAATTCTGCTGTAATGTTAGGGAGTTGATCGTTCTATGGGAGTCTGGGATGTTACCCAATCGATGACTTGACTGCACCAACATTTGATTTACGGTACAGGTTTTCCAATAAGCTTCTTTTTCCTACAATGCGTGATACTGCTAATCATTTTGCCATTCGAATTTAATGCTCACGTCATTTTTTTTTAATTTTAGATAAACCAGGAGGGACTAGCAGATGATGTCGAATCCATCTCAATACTATGGAATGGCGAACGGGTTTCCTCCAGCGACAAATGGCCCCCAACAGCAGCAGAACCATTTACCGCCAACGTCACAGCAGCAGGTTCTACCAGCACAGCAACAGTATCCCACAAAGAATGTCGTGATGAATGGCCCTTCGCAGTATCCACCAATAATGGCCGGTAGTGCTCCGCAGTATGTAGCACCTCCAACATCTGGGGCCACGGTTCCATTGCAAAATGGACCTCCGATGACGCAAAAACCACTATTCAATACTCAGTTGCCACAGCCGAACAATCGGGTTGCGAATCTAGTTTCAAATGGCAACAGTGCTACCTCATCGAGAACGGCGTCGCCAGCTCTAGTTAACAATAATATCCCAGCGTCGCAGTTGCCACCGTCGATCACTAACCGGGCAGGCAGCTATCCGACGCCGTCTAGTCAAAGTCAACAGACTGCTATGCCTCCAACTAATCACCATACTATGAGCTCTAACAATAACTGGACGAGTGGGATTCCAGCAAATACGGTTAATACGCCACCCAAGACCGCATCTGGCTTATCAACTCCACTAAATGCCTCCACTCCAACGTTGGGACAGGCCCCTTTGAATGGCCCGGTTAGCAATCTTACAGCCAGCATGCAAAACTTGAGTGTCAATCGACCACTCTCTGCTCAACAGCAGACAAATCAAGTGAATGGGTCAGGAGCTCCACAGCCACCAACATCTAGCAGTAGCTATACTAATCTACATCAACTGGGTCAATTGCCACCTGTGCAGCAGAAAAATGTTCCACAAACCACCAGCAGTATACCGCCAACATCGACAGCATATGCCCAGCAACTACCACTAACCAATCAACAGGGACGACCTATCAACGGCAACTACGTACCCAATTCGCAAATGCCTCCACAAATTCAGCAGCAGAATGTCGCCCCTGCAAGTAGTGCCGCACAGTCTTATCCGGGCATGCCTCCGATCTCTTCCGCCGCTCCCATGGCAACAGCGACTTCAGCCATCAGCAAGAGGCCTTTGTATCCCTCTCAAACAATGCCTCCAATGCCAACATCCCAGGCAAACAGCTACTATCCAAATCAACAACAACCACAACAACCACCAATGCCCGGAATGCATCAAAATCAACAATTCCAGCAGCAGCAGCAACAGTATCAACAACCCCATCAACACAGCCATCTTCCACATCAACATCATCACCATCATCAACAGCAGCAACAACAGCAGCAGCAGCAGCAACAGCAGCAGCAGCAACAATTACAACAACCATACGGTGCTAACTACCAACAGCAGCAACAGCAAACGGATCCGCAGCACAGCGTAGTGAGGAGTGGTTTTAACCGGCTTTGGGGTAACAACACGGTAGATCTACTCCAGAACCGGCATATCTTACCAACGGAAAAGGTTCGACCGCCACCGATTCATCTCAACCATCCGTTCCAGGAGGCGGTCAACTGTAATCCAGAGTGAGTTGTTTGCTTTCCTCTATTTGTCCTTTGGATGACAACTAACACCAATTCGCCACTCTTACAGTATTTTCCGATGTACACTAACGAAAATCCCGGAAACGAATCAACTGCTTCAGAAATCGAGACTTCCGCTCGGTGTGCTCATACACCCGTTTAGGGATCTAAATGTAAGTGGTCGTCGATATGAGAATTCGCTGATCTTGATTAATGAACATATCCCATTTTAGAATCTGCCGGTGATATCCTGCAATACGATAGTGCGATGTCGGGCGTGTAGGACCTATATCAACCCGTTCGTGTACTTTGTCGACAGTAAAAAGTGGAAGTGTAATCTGTGCTACCGGGTTAATGAGTGTAAGTAAATACATGTGTTGATTGTTTATGATATAGTGCAGTTTAGGTTCACAAGTAAATTTCTCATAAGTTGATGTAAGAAAAATCAATGCATCACAATCACTGCGTACTATATTAACTTCATCCGTCAATGTTGTCTTTATTAAAAATTTAAAGTTGATAATATTCTCTTCTAAGCATTATCAAAGTCAAACAGGCGTAACTCTTCATTTGTGACATAACACACGTATTTAATGCTTAGAACTCTCTCAGGGCTGGTAGCGATCCCTGATGTCAGAAATAGTTATTTTAGTGACCATGTTGAATAAATATGTGACCAAATAGTGACTTATAGCTGTAAAAATATTCACTAAAAAGTGACCTAAGAGAAGGCGCATCAAATAAATTTTTGATGTTTTAGGCTTATTCAATTATTATTTCATAAACACTTATGTACGATATGAACCATTAAAACGAAAAATTCAATAGAAAGTTTATAACCAAACACACGGTATTAGTCACGGTGTCTACTAACTTACAAAAACTGGAAAACCGGGAATCCTCAGGATTTTTTTTCCTTAAAATACGTGGAATTCTCAAAGAATTAAAAAAAAATCTTACTAAGAGTGTTTTAAAGCAAATAATGAATTTTAAAATACAACCATTGCATTTCTCTTGTTATTTTTATTCTCACTTTGAACTTTAAAGATTCACAGTGGAGTAATCTTCTGTAAGAAATAAATTTAAATAAAATAAATATTTTTTTTTGGTTTCTGAAGACAACTGTCCTTCTGTGAAGTTTCCGAAGTTTTTCTAAATTTATGGAACTTTATGCTCCCTCAATTTCCATGAAATTAGAACGAAATAATTAATAAAGTTCTATGATTTTCACTGAAGTTCTCAAGATTTTTCTGAAGTTCATAAAACTTCCCTTAAATTATCGACACTAATTTAAAACTTCTTCAATAGTCTAGACTTTCCTGGTGCCTAAACGATTACTGAATTTCTTTAAAGTTCTCTAGACTGCCCTGAATTTATCAGTATTTTTTAAGAACCAGCAACTTTACTGAAATTAACCTGAAGTTCTCTAAATGCAAATTTTCTGATATATATTCATAATTCCCTCACGCTTCTGACGTTTTAGGATAAATCATAGAATTCTTGGAATATCCTGTAATTTGCTTAAGTTATTGGAACTGAATATCTATATAAAAATATATAAATTGTAGTGTTTTGAGTATTTTGTTTTTGTGTGTTGTATAAAGATTTACGATTTATGGCTAACTGGCAGCACTGTGTTTGAGTTGTCAATCTCTGTGTTCTACAAGTCTGATTGCGCTTCGTTTTCCTGTATGCTTGAGTGTATGTGTGTAAAGTATGAATGTGGAAAGTAGGTACGAAAGCAAATTAGAAGGAAAGCCAGAGCGATTCGACAGTGAGCATGCATAAGGGCGAATACGCGATGATCGATTCTCTTCATCGATTCTCTCTTTGCATTGCTACAGCTAAGCGAAACAATTTTCTAGAATTTGTTCAATGCAGAGTAGTAACAGGTTGTATTGGCTATCAAAAGCAACAGCAAACGCACCGATAAACGTTCAATCTAGCGACTTATTAACGAAAGAGAAAATCGACGAAGAGAATCGATCATCGCGTATAGGCCCTTATGCATGCTCACTGTCGAATTGTAATTCAACAACCGACACGTTCGGACACGAATAAAAAACCGAAAAAAGTTAAAACCGCCTGTTTTGTTTCGTCATCCTCTCTATAAAATTTAGTTCTCTGGAATTTCTTGAAGATATCGCTGCTTGCTAAAAGTTCTCGCTTTTTTATTAATGAAACTTCGTTGATGTTTTCTAATCAACTTGGCTAAATTGTCGCATTTTTTAAAGTTCTTGAAATCTCCGTGATATAACACCCTTAAAATACTCTCACGTTTTCCGGATGTTCATAAAATTTCCAGGAATTCTCTCGGAGCTTTGCTGGAGTTTTCGGAAATTCACTGAGTTTCTCAAAACTTCTTTAATGTTTCTAATATTTCCTTGAAATTATTTGAACTGCCCTTTGATTCTCTGACCTGTCTTGATGTTCTCGAAGCTTCCATAAAGCTCTTAGTTCTAATGAAGATCTCGGTTCTGCTCAGAAATAAATAGAATTCCCGTAAACACATTTAAATTTCCCTGAAATTCTGGACCCTGGACTTATGTGAAGTTTCTGAAATATTTCTGAAGTTTTCATGAATTTTCTGAAGGTCTCTGTGCTTCCCTGAAATTCGCGGAACATCTTAAGGGTTCTCGATTTGTTTTTCAGCACATCATGGAACTATCTTGAATTTATCGAAATTAATGATTATAAATTTTTAATCTATCTAGCTTTCCTGAGGTGCTTAGAACTTCTTGAAAATTTGTACAATACCCCTAAAGTTTTCTTAATTTCGCAAGTTCGCTTGACACCTGTGAAGTTCTCTGAAATTCAAGGAACTTCATAAAGTTCCTGAAAAGTCTCGGATGTTAAAAGGACCTTCACAAGACGCGACGCGAGACAAGACACAACACTTATCGTTCTTACAACTTTAAAATAAATTAAAATTTACCTTACTGTCGACCGGTTTCGGGCGTGATGCTGCCCATCTACGGGACAATGTCCGACTGATTACTTGGATGTTCATACGTTGTTCCGTACACGTCCAAAAAGAAGAGAAGAGAAGCTACTGGATTCTCAGATTTGTCAGGTTGAAAAGGCAGGATATAATGGGGGGTTCATCTTCATTCATTAATGGTTCAGCAGCATTGGTGATGAATGATGATTCCCAGGCGTTTAGATGTGTAGTTTTTCTGACGGATTTAATGAGTTTTGCACCTTTCCAGTCAATGTTATGGTTTAACGTAATTGTGTGTACTGCCACAGCTGATTCGTTTGATTTTCTGTTGTCTACAGCATGTTTATGTTCCTTTAGGCGGACCTTTACTTTGCGGCGCGTTTGTCCAATATAGACTGAAGGACAATCCTTGCATGGAATTTGATAAATTCCAGACTGTTCATCCGGCGGAACTTTATCTTTCAAATTACACAACAGGTCACGCAAAGTGTTGTCGCTCTTGTGTACTACCTGTAGTCTTTGTCGCTTGAGTGTGGATTTGATTGGATTCGTAATTTTGGGATAGAACGGCAGGCTGATTCTTTTTACTTCCTCTCCCATTGGTTCTAGTGTGGTTATATTTTGTCGGTGCTTCTTTCGTTTGTGTTTTCGGAGAATTTTGTCCACGAACTCCTTTTCATACCCATTCACTTCAGCCGCTTTGTAGATACGAATTCTTTCCTCTGCAAACTCGTCATCCTCCATGGGTACATTGTAAACACGGTGTGCCATGGAATGAAAAGCGGCTTGCTTTTGAGCTCCAAAGTGGTTGGAATCGGAAGTAATGTAGCGATCGGTGGACGTCGGTTTGCGATAAATACCAAATTTCAGGGTGTCGTCCTCCTTTCTGGTTATCATTAGATCCAGAAAGGGCAATTTCCCATCCACCTCTTTTTCTACCGTGAATTTTATTGAACTGTGCCGGGAGTTAAGTAGACTTACAGTTTGTTCTAAGTAGCGCTCTTTCACTGGTGCAAAAACATCATCTACATAGCGCCTCCAAACACGTGGGAAAAACTTGTGTTTTTCAGCATCGGCTTCAAAGTCACTCATGAAGATGTTCGCCAAGAGAGGCGAAAGTTTGCTGCCCATGCTTAGACCAAACGTTTGTTTGTAAAATTTCCCTCTAAAAGTGAAAAAATTCTGGTTCATGCATACCTCAGCCACAAGCAGATAAGCCTGGATGTGATTGTGTGGCGCTCGACTGCGTTCTAGATGTTGACGCAGGCTTCTTAAAGCGTCGGCGATTGGTACGCTAGGGAATAGTGCTGCAACATCAAACGATACCAAAATCTCACCTCGTCTCAACTTGAACCCTTCTAGCTGCTCAACCAAATCTACCGAATTTTTAACACTTTTTCCATGCGTTACGGGGTAGTTCTTCATTTCATCTACTAGCCACGCTGCCATTTTCTCGGTGGGTGTGCGGATATTTGACGAAATGGGTCTCATTCCAACCGGATTTTTGTGGATCTTCGGTAGACAGTATAGCGATGCCACCATCGGATTGGGGACGTTGAACTTTCTTACAAACTTATCTTCTCCCATCAGACGCGCTACATTGTGCCGTGCAAAATTTGATTCCTCGATCATTGCATTGAGAGGATCTTTAGACTTGCCATTCTTAAATTTGCATTCTTCGTACGGACCGGAGCTAATCATATCATGGACGCGTGAGTCATAATCCTCCCTGTCCATGATCACCACGGCGTTTCCCTTATCTGCACGAGAGTAGACCACATCACGGGTTTTCAATAGCCGAATCGTACACCAAGTATCGAAGTTGGAGCGCTCTGTTTGGTTTTGTTTGCTGACCGTTCGCAAAATGCATTGTTTTACATTGTAACGGGTTGCCGATTTGTACGCTTGTTGGTCATATTGAATGGCACTTTCAATATTGTTAACAATGTCGGAAAGGGGAGCACACTGGGGGGCAACAGCGAAATTTAACCCTTTGTTGAGCAGATCGAGCTCTGCCTGAGTGAATTGCGTGGATGAGAGATTTACTACAAAATTGTCGATGGTTTGCGGTGAACATTTCTTTTTACCCTGTGTCTGTGTGCACTCAAGAGAGCGTAATTTTCGGCGGTGTCGCTGCTTCGTTTTGTACACACGTTTTTCAATATTACTATTCAAACTACACAGGGATATTTGCCAGCACTCTTTCTTTTCTTCTACACATTTAACACACACTCGGCTGAACTATGGTACTCGCATTCTTTCAGCAACTGCATATGAAGTGGGTATAACTGCTCTTCCACTAACGATAATTGCTTATGCTTACACCTGATTTCTTCAACGAGCCAGATCTTCTTAGCACTATTGGTTGCTCTTTCACTTGCTTCACTATTGGTGGATGGTTTTATATTGATAAAATTTGGCATAAGGCCTTTCCTTTTACAGCGGGTGAGGAATTGGATATGTAGCTGTAACATTCTCTTCTTTGTAATCAATCGGCCATAAAGGCGAAAGCACTTTGAGGTTGTTGCCTGCATTTCACTTATTTTTTTTATGTTTTGTGCTAACGTAAGAACTACACGACATTCACAAGACGCGACGCGAGACAAGACACAACACTTATCGTTCTTACAACTTTAAAATAAATTATTACCATAATAAAGATATTAAGTAGGGGAAAAGTTGGCTTCGGCAATACCTTAACCTATTATCGTCAGGGGGTAAACAACGTCATTGAGAGCTCAATTTTCGCATGTGGATACATTGTGTTTCAGAGCAACTATTGGCCAAATTTGAGTGCTCTAGGACTTTGTTTACCAACCCCCCCCCCCCCACGATAATAGGTTAAGGTATTGCCGAAGCCAACATTTCCCCTAAGCTATTAAAAAAAACAACATGGCGTACATTAAAGATGGTCACACAAAAGATGCGAAAATGAAGCAAGGCTCTGTCTACAATAAGAGAGGAGTGGATTCAAAGCATGAAACTATCCTCTGAATTAAATTTTCATGGAATTTTCCTCGGAATTACATTAAAGTAAGAAAAAATTGGGCAAGATTCTCAGAATTTTCATTGAATTCATTCCAGATAGTTTTTTTTTAATCTCACTCCTTCCCATGAAATTGTACTCACATTGAAAATCTCCTAAGAATTAATTTGCACCTCTTCTGACAAATTCTTTAGATTTCTCCTCATAATTTGTTTGGCAAACTCTCTTGGAATTTATTTTCCGATCTCCTCGAGTTATTATCTGATTTAATTGTAATACTCCTTTTAGCAACCCCCTCACACCCTAAGTATTCTCCAAAAATGTCCCAGGACTTATGCTCCGAATTGGTTTTCTCCCACAAACGTCATTAAATTATTCTCAGAATGCCCTTGAATTTTTCCTCTGAAGTTCACAGGAGTTCTGCTCATCAGAAATTACTTTGAGTTTTCATTAAAATTTACTTTGAATTAAATTCAGGGTTTTCTTGAGATTCTACTCAGAACTTTCTCAGGCTTTCAATGAAATCTAAAATTCCTCAGAACTACCTTGAAAGCAGATTGCACTAAAGTTTTTCTCAAAGATTTTTTTTCCCATAATTCCCTTGAAATGATGTGCTTCAAAATTATAATAAAATTCCAAAAGCCTTTAAAACTGTGCAAGGAAAATTTCCTGAAGTAATAGGGGAAGTTTCGGCTTCGGCAATACCTTAACCAATTATCGTCAGGGGTGTAAACAAAGTCCTAGAGCACTCAAATTTGGCCAATAGAGGTTCTGAAACACAATGTATCCACATGCCGAAATTGAGCTTTTAAGGACGTTGTTTACCCCCTGAAGATAATAAAATAAGGTATAGTCGAAGCCGTCATTTACCCTATAACTTTGAAGCCCATAATTTTAGAAAAATTGTTCATTTTTAAAAAAATGCAGTAAATTTGCATATTCCAGAAACAAACAAAATATAAGAAGGGTAAAACATTTCAGGCCTCTGATTTTTAAACTTTATTTGTTACTGAAGATTAATACACTCTGAATCTATAAAGTTCAATGTGTGAATGAAAATAACGAGGAAAACTAAAGGTTTGTATTTTAAAATGAATTATTTTCTTTAAAATATTCTTAGTAAGAAAATTATTTAATTCCCTGAGTAATGATGAGATTCCCTGAGACTTTCAGGTATATTCAGGAAAATTCAAATTCCCTGAGGATTCCCGGTTTTGCAGGATTTCCAGGTAGTAATTCGTGGGTTTGGTCTTAAACTTTCTATTGAATCTTTCGCTTTGAAGGTTCATATTACTTTTCTGCTCTTAGTTCACGTTTTAGTCACTGTTTTTACAACTTAGTTCATGGTCACGATATTTGGCAGTATTGATCGCTACCAGCCCTGTAAGTTCCACTGGACTTTCTAACTTACTATTAGGGTCTACTGGATTTGCCCTTGTGATTCTATGAAGTTTCCTTCTTATTATCCCATTGTGGCATTGGGTCATGCTCGTTGAGCAGCAAATTTTGCGTCGAGGTGCATCTGGATCATCTGGAGGTGCTTTGGATGTATCCTATAAAAGCTATTCTCTGTTGTATTGTTCTATCTAAATATCATCATTTTTATTCCATTAACTCCAATAAATCTGTGAACTGAGACTGTGAATTACTTGAACGTACATGATCGTTTTCTTACATTCTCTAGTACCGGAGGAGTTCCAGTATGATCCTGTCACGAAAACCTACGGTGATCCAACTCGTCGACCGGAGATCAAGTCCAGCACGATTGAATTCATCGCTCCTGCTGAGTACATGGTAGGGCTTATTAACTGCTGTCTACTTTTACAGTGACGACTTACTAACTCGTTCTTACATCATGCACAGCTACGACCTCCTCAGCCAGCGATATACCTATTTCTGCTAGATGTGTCTTCGCTGGCCCAGCAAACCGGCTACTTACACACGGTGTGCAGCACGTTAATCGAGCAGCTCGAGAATCTACCGGGTGATGCACGGACCCAGGTCGGCTTCGTTGCGTACAACAGTTCGATCCACTTCTACAACATTGCCGAGGGCTACAATCAACCTCACGAGGTTACGGTTCTGGATGTGGACGGTATGGTTTATTGATTTCCTATGCTATACATTGCTTACAAATTGTCAAATATCGATTGCATTTACCTATCCAGATGTGTTCCTGCCGTATCCGGATAACTTACTGGTCAACTTGAAAGAATGCAAGGAATTGATCAAGGATCTGCTGATGCAGCTACCGACACGTTTCGATCATGCTCACGATACGCACAGTGCGCTAGGTGCGGCGTTGCAGGTGGCTTTCAAACTTATGGTAAGAATTGACTCACTAAGTTGTTAATGGTTTACAAAAATTACTTCTTAACTTTGCTCTTCATCAGAGTGCTTGTGGTGGTCGAGTCACGGTGTTCCAGTGCTGTTTGCCTAACTATGGACCGGGAGCACTGCAGTCACGGTAAGTTGAACAGAGGGGGTTGTTGTCGGTTTATTGCTTCAACAAAATTTTACATTCTTAGGGAGGACCCCAACAACCGTTCTTCAAAGGATGTAGCCCATCTGGGACCAGCAACAGACTTCTACAAGCGACTAGCCTTAGATTGCTCTGCTCAGCAGATTGCTGTTGACTTGTTCTTGTTAAATAATCAGTACTGTGATGTAGCAACAATTTGTAAGTATTTTTGAATAGTTTTCTTGAGAGTCCAGTTAATGATCTTGATTCCGGGTTTCACAGCTGGAATAAGTAAATTTAGTGGCGGATGCATGCATCATATTCCGCTGTTTAGTGCTACGAAACCACAGCTAGTGAAAACGCTGCAGAAGTGTTTCGAGCGCTATCTGAGTCGTAAGATCGGTTTTGAGGCCGTTATGCGGGTACGCTGTACTCGAGGTTTGGCGATTCACACATTCCACGGTAACTTCTTTGTGCGGTCAACGGATCTGCTGTCGCTGCCGAATGTCAATCCGGATGCTGGGTTTGGCATGCAGGTAAATTATAATCATACTGGCGAGAGAGTCTGCAGGATTTATATGGCTGACTGTCCTTTTACAGATCACCTATGACGAGAGTTTAGCCGACGTCAAATCGGTGTGCTTCCAGGCAGCTCTACTGTACACTAGCAGCAAAGCTGAACGGCGCATCCGAGTCCATACGCTGTGCTTACCGGTCACGGCGAGTCTGTCGGAAGTTATGTATTCTGCCGATTCGCAGTGTATCGTTGGCCTGTTGGCCAAGATGGCCGTGGATCGTTCACTGACCTCCAGTCTGTCCGATGCCAGAGATGCCTTTATCAATGCAACCGTCGACATCTTCACTGCGTTCAAGATCGCACAGAATTTACCGCAGAATTCTGGTTCCATTGTGGCACCGGAGAATCTCTCCCTTCTGCCGTTGTATATTCTGGCCCTGCTGAAACACGTAAGTAGTGGAGTGTTAGGGCTTCGCGAAATGATAAAGCTATTTCTCATGTGTATTTCATTATAGACCGCCTTCCGGGTAGGAACCAGTACCCGTTTGGATGACCGAGTGGTTGCAATGAGCGAGATGAAGACGATGCCACTGGACCAGCTGATCCGGTATATGTATGCGGATTTTTACGTTCTCGACAGTCTGTTCCACAGTGCACACGAGGGAGCAGATGGCGAACCGCAACTGGTGGAACCGCCACGGTTACAGCTTTCGGCTGAGAAGTGAGTTCCTTATTCCAAATAAATGGATGAATACAGTAATCAATTATCTTATTACCACAGGTTCGATTCACGATCGATGTTCCTACTGGACTGCGGTCCTTACATGTTCATGTACGTAGGATCTAATGTACCACCTGCTATTCTGAACGATGTTCTCGGTATGTACAATAAGCGACTTGTTAGTCATGAAAAATATTACTGATCACCTTTGAATTCTTCCCCCTTTAGGAGTGAACGACGTTTCGGAGATTCCGGACTTTTGTATCGAGTTGCCCAGCAGGGAGACTCCCGCCAGCGAGGCACTGTTTGCATTTATCGACGCCATCAACGAAGAGAAACCGTATTCTACTTACATACAGGTCATCAGGTGCGTTTTGTATTTCGTGCGTTACTGAATTCGTACACATTAACCATGATCCAAATTAATTTCACAGAGATACGAGTCAATTCCGTTCGTTTTTCGTGGAGAAGTTTGTCGACGACAAAAACCAGAGTTCACTTTCGTACTATGAGTTCTTACAGCATCTTAGAACTCAGGTGAAGTAGAGTGGGTAATAGATATGTTTAACTGTTAGAAGTTGAATGTAGGACCGGGCGGAGAGATTTTTTATTAGGTAAGTACTACAGCAACACACATTGTAGGTGCATTAGTGGGTGGAGCGGTTGGGCCGATCATTTTATCCTTTTGCGGAAACAGGACATAAAGATGTAGCAAATGATGTATAATATAAAAATATAGCGAGAGTAATTAAAATAATCTAGCTAATCAATGGTTGCAAATGTAAAGTGAAACAATAAAATTATATATTTAAACTGAAACATTATCGTAGGTAAACCCAAGGCAATTCAACACAATGATTTTCGACGACTGCGAACGTTTACTTTCTATGATTGTAATAAACACTAGGGTAATGAAAGGAAATCAAATGTAATCAATTGATTGAAGCCGTAAGATGTATCCCCTAATATAAAGCAAATAAATTTACAACGTTTTCTATAGTTTACCTTTTCGATGCAAATCGCGTGTTTCGGAGAAAGTTATTTCAAAACAGTCTACCTTATCATCGAAAGTTCAAGAACCGAATTTTGAATTTGAAATTGCGATACTTTGAAATTACTCCAAAAAAGTTTTATCCCTCAGCGATAGAAACGCGTAGTTATAGACAAAAGCAAAAAAAAAGAGCGTTCACAACTTTTAAGCACCTAGGGCTTATCTAGTTTCTGCTTAAAGCAAATTGATTCTACCTAACTACGATAGAGGCATCTTCAAATTTTGTATTCACACTTTCGTTAATTGTAATCGTGGATTAATTTAGCATATCACAGTGTGCTCTACAGGAATAAAAATGTGTTAGAATGTACAGAACTATTTACATATTGTTTACATTGTGTAATAAGAAAAAGTCATAGGGTGTTGATCCCAACATTAAAAAAAAAACTAAAATGGACGCAATCGACGGAAGGCTACGCGGAACGAAACTTGCGCGAACGACTGGTGAGCTATCTTTACGAATTATGGGTAATGCGTTTCGATATAGGTTTTTGTATAGTTATTCTGTTTCAATGTCCCCTTACAACTTTGTTTGTGTTGTTTACCTAGGTACTATTGGAATAGTGTTTCCTATTTTGTGCTTGTACCATTCATTTCAGCAAAGAGTTGAAGGCATCGGACAGTAATGGGAGAATGAGAGAAAACTTGAAGTATTCCTGTGTATGCATGATGTTGATTATATAATCAATTCTTATGATATGAGTTATCAAGCATAATAAATAATGTATGACCTCAAAATATTATTCAAAATTCAGTTTGATGACATGTCCTCTACGCTCAAAATTCAGGATTTGCCATAGTTTCTGAATCCAGGTGAAGCATCGTAGATATTAAACTTCCTCCATCTCTAAGGGGTGGTTCTGGCAGCGAGTTAAGGTCAAATAGCACCCATATTCTCGTTCACGTCCGAACCGTATTTTCCACACAGAAAAACGTTTTTTGTATGAAATAGGGTAGAGAACTACTTCGGCCTAATCGCCCATTTTGGGCTTATCGAGCAGAAAACATCAAATAAATCCATGATTTCAGAGTTAACAAGTCGTTTGGTACGATATTTTAGTTAATAAGCTACGGAACGAAGTCAATGAGAACGCGTGATATGAAGGTTTGCACCAATTATTCCCAAAAAACAAAAGAAGCGCTCCGACCGAATCAATTTTCATCTTCAGCCGATAGGCCGAAGTGAATTCATTGGCGTTTCAATGGCGTTTCAATGCGCTAGGCTGAGTTTAGAATCCGTAGGCCGACTTTGGCGTCAAGAAGCAGTGTTAGACCTTTGACAATATCTCAACGATTGGTTTCTCTTTGTCAAATCTTACGGTACGTACGGAAAGGTAAATACATTTGGAAGCCATCAGTAATAATAACATTCCGTTTGGTGCTAAGCTGCGCTAGATTAAGAAACACTAATTGCGGGTTGTACTTAATAGGCCGGAAATGGGGTAGTTAACCCTATTTTCGAACCAAAACGAAAAGTATGGTATTGCGGATCACACGGAATACTGTTCTCTGGTAAAGGCCTGCTCTCAACATATCATCGGCGGTGGAATAGATTCTATACCGATACTCTTCCACGATTATTCGAAAACCTGTTCCCGAACGTCACTTCCTCTAAAAAGTTTCCACGAATGTACCGTTTCCCAGAAAGCGATATACAGGGCTTATAGCGGGACGAGAAGGAGGATTACACCATGATCATTCTGAGGAGAACTTCAAGATAATACAAAAGAGAAATCTAAGGACATTCTGAGGACAATTTAAAGAAGATTCTGGGACAAAAGGAATCCGGATCATATTTTTATGTTAGTTTTCGGAAAATTCATAGAGGGTATATGATGGAGGATTACAATTAAATATTAGTATAATTCCTATCGAACCTCAAATGAATTTGGTTAAAAATTCCAAGAAAGTTCTGACAAATTTTATGGAGAAATTTAAGAAGAACTGCAAGTTATTTTTAGGTGAGAATTTCATAGTTGTGAGTTGAATTCCAAGGAAAGGGGCAATATTCAACTGTAATTCCAAAATATATTCAATGAGAATAATCCCAACGGCTTTTTTTTTACGAATATTCTTAGAAAATTCTGAGCTTAATTTCAAGTGGATTTCGAGGAGTATAATAATTATCTGAAGAAAAAACACCGGAATATCCTTAGAATATATTCTAAGGATATTCCGGTGTTTTTTCTTCAGATAATTCAAAGGAGAATCCCAGCAGCATTTCGAAGAATTTTCGGGATTTCCTAGCAGAACTAAAAATTTATTCCTAAGATAATTCCATGAGAATTTCAGGATAATATTAAGTAAATTTTGAGGTGAACTCCAATTGAATTTTCAGGAGAATTCTTCAGGCAATTCCTAGCAAGAATTATTAATTTTCTCACACGCACGTCTCTTGCCGATGATATGTGCTAACCTCTCAGTATCTTCTAACTGTCGCATATAACAAATAAAAATTGACTTTCAGTCGCTAACCTAAATCGAAAATTAATTTGATGATATATCATCACTATGGCCCGGTGGTCGGAGGTGAGGCCAGCAGCTCATTGCTCTATTCATACTGCATTGGACATCCCGTATCCAACATGTGTGATGTAGAACAGAGACGAGTTGTGTTTGTTCACATCGACCGATACTGAGTGGTTGCGGTACAAGCACATATCGTCGGTAATAGACGATTGTTGTGTATTGAGAACGCTTGCGCAAAAATACTAAGGGAGGGAAACGGATTCGAAACTCATATGTCATTAGCCAAATACATCCGTAGACCATAGGTCCACCGTTGTATAATTGGCAATGCACCCGTGTACTGAATGGGAATTGTGGGTTCGAATCCCACCGGTGCCCTTAGATTTTTTCGCAAATTTTCTCACACGCACGTCTCTTGCCGATGATATGTGCTAACCTCTCAGTATCTTCTAACTGTCGCTTATAGTAGAAATATTCGAAAAAAACCTGAAAAACTCGTGGAATTTTATTAGGAAAAATGAGTAGACAATAAGCTATAATAATTATCAATAATATAAAAAGTCGTCGGGAATCTGGAATTCTTTTCCATCGTTTTTTTTTTTAAATTTCCCACTATATAGGGGAAATGGCTCTTATGTTGGCCTTTGGATGTAAGATTGGGCCCATCGCTAAAAATCTGCTATCTATCAATTTTATCTAGATAAACGCGTCATTGTTACGGTACTAATTGATATTTTCGGTCGCTATTTAAATTTTAGTCGATTGCTGAAATTATATATGGATCCAAATTAGGGGCACTTAGGATGAAATTACATCCATTTCCCCATAGTTTTAAAATGCAATTTACAACAGAATTTAACGATTAAAAAGACAAATAATCTGGAATTTATTAAAACTAAATCCAAAATATAAGGGAAATGGCTCTAATGTTGGCATATAGATCTAAGATTGGGCCCATCGCTAAAAATCTGCTATTTACCAATTGTATCTAGATGAACGCGTCATTGGGAAGGTACTAATGGATATTTTGAAAATTTACTCGATTGCTGAATTTATGTATGGGCCCAAATTAGGGACACTTAGGCCATTTCCCCTATCATATTCCCACATAGTGCAAAAGCTTGAAAATAATCGAAGAATATTAACAAATCTCCAAAGACAAGGCTTAGAGATCTTAAAACAAATGGTTCATTCAGGTACTTGATTTCCTTTCTTTAGTCTGACACCGCTCAAGTCAAAATATATTGAAAACTTTCTTATTTCCAAAATTGTAAGATTACTTGTCAGTCTGTCAAATGTCAAATGATCCAAAATCTCGTCAGGGATCTTGTGAATTGAAGTTCAAGGATTTTTATAAATTCCTGGTATCTTGCATAAACTATTCCGATCACTCGATATTTTATTCAGCATTTTTATTCTATTTTTTACCAGTTTAAAACAGTTTATAAGCTAAAGGTTGAACACGAAAAAATGCGGACGCATTTTTTTAGATTTTATTTTCAAAATTACTTAATCAATCTAAGAGTGTATAGAATCACAGTAGGCATTGGTTGTCAGGATAAGTTCATTTGTTTACATCATGGCTTCACCTGAACAAGCACGTTGCGATCCGATCCTGCGCGCTCAAAACGAAAATCCCGGTCTATCCGCTCTGGCAGTTTTCGATCAAATTCCTGGGCAGGAATTTCATACCTCGGTTGACCAGAAGAGTGCCCCAGAAAGCCCAAAGCCCAAAAAGAAATTTCAATTCCCCAAAAAGTTCCTTGTCTGGCAAGCAATCTGCAGTTGTGGAATTAAAAGCGAAACTGGGACCATGAACCTGCAAATTTTACCAGGAGGAGTGCCTACGGAAAAGAATACTGCCTTTTCTGGAGCAGCATGAGGTCGATTGCCTATTCTGGCCGGACTTGGCAAGCTGCCACTACTCAAATTCCACCAAACAGTGGTACAGCAAAAATGGTGTCACAGTGGTTCAAAGGAGATGAATCCGGCCAATACTCTCCGGAACTACCCTAATAAAAAAATAACCATAAACGAACGATAACCCAAATCATTGAACTATTCCACAAATGGTTTGGATGATACCAAGAACACGTCGTTAAGCAAATTAACCATACAATTTTTATTAGGGTAAGGCCAATTGAGGAATACTGGCCAATTGTGAAGCACATACTGATGAAAAAGGGTGGAACTACAATTGGCCTGAAAGATTTCAAGCGGAAATGGAACTTGGCAGCTAAACAAGTGGGGGCAGGGCTCGTGCAAAAGATGATGGGCCTTGTACAAAGAAAAGTTTGAGAAATAGCCTATGGTAAGAAGGAAAACTGAAACAATGGTCTTACAATAAGCATAATACTTACAAATGTATAGCTGCTACATTTAACTATGAAAAATAAAACAAATTTCAAACCCCCCACAAGATTTTCGTGTCCGGATTTTTTCGTGTTCAATTTTTATAATATCACCTTTCCAAGTCGACCAATGACTCATTCAACCTTCTTCGGTCTAGTAGATGTTCGGCCCAGTAGAATGAATAGCAACTTCTGTTGTAGAAGTATTATGCTTTTTTCAGTAATTCAAAAAAAATTAGATCTGGGTATCTATATCATTTAATATTTTAAAACGCTATCTCGACGTTTCATTCCTTATTTCATAAATAGTTCTAATAATTAGGCAATGTCTTCTTTATAGGTAACTAAGCAAACGTGGAGCACCTTCGTGATGCAAGTTCGCAGATCGCATAAAGATCATCATAGTTCATATCTAAAAAGCGTGACGTGTTAGAGAATAGATTTATTCTAGACTTTAATTCAGGAGACCATAAGAATATCAAACATGGTAAAATATCTCTGTTATTGAAAGTCGTGTTACACCGTGTTGTTAGTTTTTAATCTAGTTGTGCAAGATCTTGCAATGTAAACTTTTGACGAATGCGTACAGATACGAAATCAATGCCTACCTTTTTTGGATGACTGACAAATCAATTTGCATGATTCTATTTCTGAAAGTTTTCTGATAATGTTTAAGTCACATTTTGGTAACTTTGTAAAAAGATTTTGGTAATTTTTTATTCACTTTTTTAAATGATTTTATTAACTAATTCACTATTTTTGTTGCTTAACACTGCTATCAGCCCTGGATATACCATGCAACCACGATGCAAATGACCCTAATAACCATCAAGCCCGCTAACTACCCGATAATCGTCCATTTTGCGATATAAGGTAAATAAAGGGATTCCGAACTTTATATCAGTCGTATATCAGCCT